ATATATATATATATAACATGTTAAATCATAAGTTGATAAGTATGTTGCCAAAAGCAGAGGAGAGCCTTATAATTTAATATCAGTATCACATTCTGAACTGTTGGAGCAACCAGTAAACCCCATCTGTTGAAAACAACAGATCTGTGTTTTATATCAGAACTTAAACATTTAAAGCTTTTTATATGTCAGGAGAAGTATTATGATTTACATCCTCAATTTAAGCTACCCAGTGAAGGGAATCTAAAATAGGAGGAAAAAACTGTCTCATTACAGTTTTTTTTTTTTTTTATAATAACTCCAATTTTTAACTGCAAATTAATTGACTAATTCCTCTGCATCACTGAATTTTAGGAATATTCTAGACTTTAAAGGTGTTAAAGCATAATTTACAAAGAATCTATTAAAGTATATGTAAAGATTTAAATTGTACTCATTCAGTATTTTTACAAAATTTTGGAGATAAACTGAAAAGTACCGTGTCACATGAATTGATGTTTAAATTATTAGATTATGTTTAGCGTCTATTTTGTCTCTTCATATCTTTAAAATGTGTTTTTTTTTTTTATTTAATCAATTATGAACTTGCGATTGTGACTTCTGTTACATTCATGACATTTTCTCTTTATAATAGGCAAAGCAGTCTATGGTGTAGCTAGGAAAAATAAAAACTCAAATCATTTTCAGAAAGTCACTGTATGGGCTAATAAATAAATTCTTATCTAAGGACTCATTTTGGCAAGATCATATAATTTAGTGAGTCACTTGAAGTGGATACGAGTGCTGAGTGTTTGTCTCCATAATTTGCTTCTTCTCACACTTTTTCTGCTTTTACATCTGAAATTGTATAAATTTAATAACAAGTTTATCAGAAAGGGACTTTGAGGATACATACTGAACAGCAAATAAATGAATAAATAAGAAAACTAGGACTTACAGTATAAAATAAAACAAATATACATTTTAATGTATGCGACATATAAGACTTCAAAGTGACACAGTTCAGATGAATATAGAGGAAACAAACAGCTTATGTAAATGTTAGGTAAATAAAGGGGGAATAAGGGTGAAATTCAGGGACAGCTTGAAAACCAAATCAAAGAACTGTTGAAGCTAAACAACAAATATGTAAATTGATTTTAGTCCAAAGTGAAAATTTTGCTTTGTTGTGACTTGCCGGTTTTATTTGTATGGCTGCCAGGTGGCCCAGTTGACATAGAGCCAAAAGTCTTGCAGTAAATCTCACATTGCTATTTATGTAAGGGTCATCCTGGTGATTAGATCAGCAACATTAATCTTTTAAAGGTTGTTATTTGCATCTTTGCATTGATGATTGTCATTAGAGTGTAGCTAGAACTGATATCTCAACATCTGGATGGCTATTAATCTTTGTGGATGCAGGCAATGATTAAGCCCTGCACCATTAAATTAACACCGTGGCATTAATAGTACATATGCACAGTCTCCATCTAGTGGTAGAAAGGTGCTAATAAAAGCTGGACTAGGAGAAACTAGGTTTGGAGATCCTCGCCTGTTACAGATTTCCTTTTTGTTAAAAAGAGTTTTTGTTTTCATTTTTCTGATGTAAAATTTGCATACATATGTCTGTATAAAAAGCTATTTAAATATTGTAGCTGTTGCAGTATAAGGTACTGCTAGGAATCATATTCCAAGTATTTTTTTATGTCACTCTCTTGAATTGGTGCCACACTCTTGTGCTTGGAGCTCAATCCTACATCTTTCAACCGTTTCCTTTCTTCAACTGGTATGATCCCAGCACATGATGGCAGAAAGGATCACACTTCTCACAACATACCTAAAGGAGATATGTAGCATCTTGCTGCAAACAACAGGACCAAAGCTTCCTCAAAAAAGTAGCCCGCTTTGTCCTTTCTCGTCAACGGCCTCACAGTAGTGTCTCTAATGTAATCCGTTGTCCAGGTCAACACTGAGGTATTAACTGAGGTATTAACTGTATAACTGTACTCCACTCCACTTCATCTTCTATGATGTTAATGTTTCCCATGTTTCTGGCTCCTCTAAAATTTGAAATAATCTCCATGTTTCTTTTTGCTTTCAGGATCAGATGATTATTTCCACCAACTCTATGTACTCAGCATCTTGATGTACAAAGTAAAGGAACAGGGGGAAGTTAAAAAACAACAACAGAAAAAAAAGTTTTATCTCATGCAGCATCTCCTTAAACGCTGTTCCAACCTCTTTATAGAAATTTTTTCAACAATTATACTGCTGCTTAAAATTGTGTTTAGCAGTGTTAAGGCTGTATTAAAAAAATAATAATAATAATCTCAGTCATTGGCACTGCATGCTTGGTTGAAGGATGGATTTTAGTTATGGACTCCTCTTTTACTCAGAAATGAGAGTTGTAAATATATACATTAAAGTTGCAAGATGTTGAAATATCAAAAAGAAAGGTTGTATGGTTCTTGCCAACCCTAGCCTTTAATCAAACAACACTTTGTTAATATAGACTAATAAAGAAATGTTTGCCACAGAAAAAAAAAATGTTTTGATAATTTTTACTTTCTTTGTAGGCTGCCCAGTGGGGCAGTGGGTAGCGCTGCTGCTTTGCAGCCAGAAGGTTCAATTCCCGGCCCAGTTTGATTCAGGTCTTTCTGCATGGAGTTTGCATATATCCTCCTTGAGCATGCGTGGGTTCTCTCCGGGTACTCCGGCTTCCTCCCACAGTCCAAAAACATGACTGTAGGTTAATTGTCTTCTCTAAATCCTCCTTAGGTGTGAGTTTAAGCGTGGATGGCTCTGTGTTGCCCTGCTATGGACTGGCTGCCTGTCCAGGGTATACCCTGCCTCTCACCCATAGACAGCTGGAGATTGGCACCAGCACAGCTCGCATCACGCTTGGCATAAGCGTGACAGATTGGATGGATGGAGGTAATTTTCTCAATAAAAACAACCCTAATAGGGATTGGGTTGCTACCGTTTTTATAAATTTAAATTTCAAAGATATATATTGTCATCACATAGATGTTTCACTGTGGCTCTATTTCATACCTTATCCAAAATAGTTAGGTTATGCTGAGCTATTTCTATATTTATGCTGCTATAGGCTTAGGCTGCTAGAGCAGGGGTCTTCCATGTTTTTCAGCCAAGGACCCCCAAAACTGATGGTGAGATGGAGCGGGGACCCCCTAATTATATATATTGTATGAATTTGTGTTATATCAAACTCGTCCTATAGTCACCTTATTACAGATGGAGTCATGTAACGAAAGTAATTTTTTCCTGAAATTATTGGATTATTTCTGGTTCAGATTCGTATTCCTGGTTGATGGGACAGGTGTTGTGAGTGAAATGGTGCCCAGCCTGAAAGAGCTCCTGTGTGTCGCTGAATGTGTGCATTGATGACTGAAAGACATCTTCCTCCATTTATCAGTTTACTACAGTGTGTTGAATTCATGTTAATGTGTATTTAAAGACATTTCAATGAGTGGAAAAAATTGCAGGGGGAAATATAAAAGAAAGTCTAATCAACCAAAATTTTCGCGACCCCCATGCAGTACCTCTGTAGACCCCCTAGGGGTCGCAGGCCCCCTGTTGAAGACCTCAGTGCTAAAGGATAGTTTGTCATCATTCTGCTTCATTCTTAGTTTTTTTTTTTTTTAAAGAAAGAAATCAACATTCATTTTATACAGTAAAGGTCATACTGTCAGTCAGAATCAGTCAAGGTCTGACAGAGTGCATAAATAATGCTCAGCACATTCAAATATAATGAAAAAAAAATCAATTTTAAGGTAACTTATAGTCTGTAGTTTATATTTGATGTGTGTAATATATTGTAATATTGTTCATTGCTGGACAAGTAACAACTTCTACAGCTTTCATACTATTGTAAAACCTGGTCATCTGAAATGACCCTAGGTAGTAAATCTTAGGGCTAATTGTAAATTGTCATCACCTGACTGAGTTGGAGCACCAGCTGTGTATAAAAACAGCTCAGCAAGTCTGAAATGTAGGCAGAGACTTCTTTTTTAGGTTTGGTTGTGGATTGATATTTAGTTCCTGTTTCAGAATGCGTAAGTACTAGTAGCATGTGGCTGTTGGGGAAAAAAGGAAAAAAAAAAAAAAAAA